GCAGCAGGAGACTCCAAAGGTCGTGTGCAAAATTACAGTGGAGGAAGAGGTGGTTGTTGGATTTCTCCTCGCACAAACACATGCTGCACCTATTGGGAATAGAAATCCCTTTCTTTTGTAGGTGATCGATAGTTAGTGCCTTGTGGGAGCCAGCAATCCAGTTGAATGTTTGCACCTTGGGAGGTGCTATAGTTTGCCTTACTTGAGAGAGCACCGATGTGGGATTGAGAGGGAAAGTAGGAGGTTGGGTGAGTATATTGTAAAAGGAGGCTATAGTAGACACCCCTGAAGGGACGAGGGACCATACCAACTTATCCCTTCTTTGGATAGGGATAAAAGTACGGTGTAAAAGTGCTGAAAGTGAGAGAAATTGGTCTGTTTCCTCCTTTGAGAGGTTTCTTCTAAACGAGGATTGCCACCTTCTTCTACCTCCGTCTGGTATCAACTCCTCCTCTATTGTAGTGTCTCTATTCACTGCTATTGAGTAAAGAGAAGGGTAGCATTCCCTTAATGGTGCGTGGCCTATCGTGCTATAGAGTTTTCATTATGCATGTATAGATAACTCTAAAAAATAGATTATACATTTGTCAATTTCTTAGATACTTAAAAAACAATTAAATATATGCGGTGTTCCCAAAGCAATCTCATATACATATAATTCATATATCAAGCCGCTTCCCTTCCCGCTTCATAAAGAAAACTCCCAGGCATTCCCAACGTAGGGAGCTTTTATGGTTCAATCCCAGCCTCCCGATCCCTCTACCAACATCTATGCAATTCAGGATAGGGCTACAACATCCTTTTTTAATGATGATATATATGTTTTTAAGGCATTCTACATGAATACAACACCCAATTTAATGTTTCTGGGCATCATAGTATACAACTATTGGAAGAATCAAGAATCTAAGAGATGATGAAACCTTGCTGTAATTTGATTTTACAGCAAGAAGAAATTCTAAAAACAATGGAAGAAGGAGTAGATCTTACTCAATTGACGGACCTCTTGGTTGTTAGATCATCCGTGGCTTTAATTGATCTTGAATTGATCATAAATGGTGCCATTTTCTCACTAGAATTGATCACTCACTTCACTCAACTCTGATCTCATGGAGGAAGAGAAAAAATTGGCTTGGGCGTGCCACACTAGGAGATCTAAAGAGACAGAAAGGGGTGTGCCACTTGGAGAGAGAAACAATCAACGCAAGTGTGTGTAGGAATGAATGATTGGGAGGTATTTATAGGCTTCTAGCCACCAAGTGTATAGATGCTTCTAGATAGATGAATCTAGGCCCTTTATGTCATCATCCTATGGCTGCAAAGAGAGCTTGATCCTAGCCCACCATCTTTCATCATGCCATTTTGATGTGTGGCATGGATTTAAACACCTTTATCCACTTTAAAAACCATAATTCACTCCAAATTACCCTAGTTAGAGAATACCTTTGCTCATTCCAAATAAATACACTTAAAACCAAGTTGGAAGGCATACCCTTGAGGAAATTAAGCGAAATTTTAGCAAAACTCAAATTTGAAACTTTTCCCTCTATTTGAAAGAGCATGTGTGGCTAACAATAGGATGCCATATAAACTAGTTGGTTAAGTGCACAATTACTACATACCCTTAGGATTTAAATTGAAATATTAAACCATAGTTACTGGGATCTTCTAAGGAGGGAGTCACTTCTGCTCCGAAAGCTCGATCTCGAGCTCCGAGATATGGGATCTCAATTTTGGGCGGTTCCTTGATATTTGGGATATTGATTCGGGAAATCGAGGAACACGATTCTATCTAATGGGATCTAGATCCCTATGCCAAAGATCATGGTTCCATGAGTAGGCGGAACCATGATTCCACTAACTTGGGATCAAGTATCCTCTAATTTGGGAGTGAGTTTCACCGATACATTTTTTTGGTTCATATACAATTGAGTGTTGACCTCCAAATTTTTATGACCTACAATCTTTTTGAATTCCATGATTTCCTACATTTTTTATGAAGACAAGGAGAGAAGCAAGAAGATGGAAGGAGATACAAAAGTTAGTTGCGTTATGGTTCAATTGAAGAATGTCAATATGGTCAACTTCCTTGGAGCTAGTTCACTAGGTCTTGTCTACCTCTTGAAGGACTTCTATCGCTTGAGTGTTTGTCAATCAAATCGAGCCACTCATGAGATTGCCTTACAGGTGATGGAATAACATGTATGCATGGAAATATGAGGTTTCTCTCATGTATTTGTTTTTGAATCCCTAGCAATCTTTGATAGAGGAGTGCTATTGGGAATTATATATGGCAGTGTCTTTCGTTTTTCTTACTTTGCAAAGGTGAACTTAACTATTGCGGCATTGTTTTTGGAAACAATCTATTACAACATTCTTATTTTAATCATCATTTGATATTTGAGTGGGAGTTGCCCAAGCCAACTGTTGGTGCCAAAAATGAGGACGTGTGCATTGTGGGCAGACCAATGTAGGTAGGTGTGCTGTTTTTATCACTCTCCATTCCCATTGTTAACATGGGGTTGAGGGCTTAAGTATTACATCACCATATTGTTCAATGGTATTCGCTCTCAAGTTACAATACAATTGATAAGTGAACTTCGGGAACCTCAATCCTTATCATGGGGGAAAGTGATCCATTTAGTAAAGAATTCGTTCCTGTGAAGATATGAAACACGCTCCCTAAAAGTCAGGGATCTCAATCCCTTAACTTGACCATGTATGGACCTCGTTCCCAAAACAACGGATCTTCGAGCCTACCTTGCTCTGCGCTCCCGCTCTCGATCCCCGAGCTGTTGTCACTCTCTTTCCCGGTAACTATGTATTAAACCCTATGCCCCTTCTAGAAGGCGTCACACATGTACACAAACCACTTGCTTTTCACATTTAACATGTGCTTAAATTAATTTCCAATTTTCCAAATAACACAAAATAATACATTTAAATGCCCTCCACTTAAAATAACAATATAACAAAGGACAAGGGCGTCCTTCATGGGGACTGAAGTCACCCACACGTGGGGCTACGTGGGCCTGACATGGGACCCCCCCATGCCCACATAGACATCCATTGGCCATTTAGGCGTCCCGTGCGGTTTTGGGGTAGTATATCCTTGATCGTTATTTTGCGAAAACAATTATGGAAAACTAATTTTCTTACTTAGAAAAATCCGATAAAATTTCAAACAATCACAAAAATCCTTTTAATTATTTTTTATTAAAATAAATTATTTTTAAAAATATTTCTAAGGGGAATTAGGATCCTATGGAATTTAATTAGGAATCAGCTCCAGTCGGCTAAACTCAAAATCCAAAGCTGCATTCTCGATATGACCCACAATGTACAATCAGATGCTCATGATATAGCTTATCAAAGTCAAACCAATAAATAACTCTGAATCTCCAAGTACTAGAGGATTTCAGGTGCACCCCTTAGAGGTGGTGCGAGGGTTCCTCTCTTGGCAAATGTGCATGCTGCTTACCAGCGTCCCTGGAAGAGTGGCTTCCCATGCATTGCACGTGACTATACACATTTTATGAGAAGGTTATATGAGTTAGGGATTTAGGGCAATGCCCTATATTGGCCCTAACCTTAACCTTCTCATACATGGCTAATTTGGTCATTGAGCTCATATGATCAATCACATAAATCAAATAAAACACATCGCCTTGGCACATCTCTCAGTTATGAGGCTCAAAAACAATAACCGACCCTAACAAAGGTAACCCTCAACCCTCTCGATACCTTCCATGCATACAAATCCTCCTCATGACTCTTGGGTTTCCATGAATCTTGGTCCGAGCACTCCAGGATCCTAAAATCATTTTGCTCTTTTACTCTCTCTGAAGTTATGAGCCATTCAATGTAGGAATTTTAAAGCCTTGAAAGGACATAATTTCAATAGTATATAGTCTATGGACTTTAACGATTATTAGTGCATATAATATAATATAATTTTTGTATAATGATATTACAAACCTCTAATTCATAGGCCATGTATAGGATTATAGTCTATGGACTAGATACTATTTGTAGATTATAGTCCTCCAAAAATTAGAAAGTAGAAAAAAACATTCCATTGAGTTTGAACTCGTGACCTCTCCTATAAAGGCCGGGAAGCTCGATCACTATGAATGCCTCATGGTAATTGTATTGTACGTAATTGTTGCTTGAAACTGTGATAATGTAGTGGAGAGATCTATCTGTTTTGGAACCTAAATTCTTTGGTGAAGCTAATTGGTAAATGGTGATTTCGCTTTCTCTGTTTGGGCTATGGGTCTGTGGTTACATTTTTAACACTAGAGTAATGCGTTTACATAGAACAATTATGCAGACTAAAATGACAAGTTTCATTTTTTACTTGGCTAAGCCGTTCAGTGCAAGATGTGAGGTTTGTATGCATCGTGCATGTCACGTGTGACTGTCTTTTACATTCTTGTTTACTCCCATTCTTTTACATTCTTGTTTACTCCCATAGCACCTTCATGTTTTTAAGTCTGATGCAGTTGAGTTGAGTTGAGGTGCATGGGTGCCCTTCAGAACTTCTTTGATGACTTCTCAGAAAACTGTGTATATATGTTTCTCAGCATTTCAATTTTGAAACATATTCAAATAGTTCAGTTGTTAGATTGCTTATAACTAATTTACGCTAACGTGGATGCTTTGAAATTTGAATTATCCAACTTTGGAAAGGGGCTATCCAAACATGCACCATCTGAAGGTTATGCAACAGCATGAGCACCATGGTAATCTGCGATGCTTTTCGATTTTGGAAAATTAATTTGACATTCTTCCAACCGGTATCGTCTATTATACCAAGTGTCATTCTCATACCTCATGATCTTTATTGTTCTGTGAATAATTAATCCCATTTTCAGACATGCAATCAGCATGTGCATTGTCGTCATTTTTTGATGCTGATCAGTTAGCATGATTTTCATTTTGGATGCTTACCAAATCGGTCCATGAGTTTTAATACGACTCTGATTCCATATGTGCAGGTATTGACTACTCTTTATACATTGGGGGTTGAATTGCTGCTACCTCTGATTTTGTGTAACTAGTGAAGGTTCCATTTTTCTATGTTATGACTAAAGGCATTTTCTAATGGCCAAAAATGAAGGTGAAAATGACTTTCATTGTAAACGAGAAGGTGATTTTAATGATGCGAACCTTAGTGCGAAGAAATCAAAACATTCTGGGGACTTAGAAACAGAAAATACAGAAACACCTGTGGAGTTTCTTCAAAGCATTCCAAGTGATGGTATTCGACGCAACGCATCAAATGTGATCCTGGATAATGATGCAGCAATCTGGCCTTCAATTTCGACAGGGACCTGTAGTCAAAATCCCAGTGACAGAAAACTGGATGTCTCTTGTGATACGATCCATACATCTGAGAGTGGTACTACAATTGAGGATAAAGCTGTTTGTGATTCCGCCAGTTCTAGGGGGCAGTTATCTTTTATTGAAGCAGATGCGGCTGAGGATAAAGGTTCCAGAACCACCATGGAGGATGCTTGGGTGATCCTTCCAGATGCGTTCATTGGTGTAACTGGGAAATTGAGGTGATGCCTTGAATTATTGAACTTGAATGTCACCTGGTATTTGCTGCACTCTATTATGTTCTTGTTGGAATCATTGGCCTTTTGCCCATCATGCTTTTTGCTTTGAATAAAACTTCTATTTTCCATAGTACCGAATGCTTCTTGCTTTTATTGTTAGAAATTCTTAATTTCTGCAATTAAATTCACATTTGCCCTCTCTTCTTTATTAATATATGACATGTGGGCAATTTATGCTTGAATACTCATTGAAATGTCTTTAACAATGTTTGGAGGTGTTTATAACATACCTAAACAAATTGGAAAAGACCATATGATCCTTAATTTTAAAAGTTAATGAAAATAATGTTAAATGGTCTGGGGCTATGGCAGGGGCCTGGAAATAATGTAAGATGAGGTTCTGCACTCAAAACATGTTACATTTGGAGTTGATTGAGTCTGTCGCAGAGTGAATGGTCCTTCTGCGGCAAACTTAACATTTAAATTAGATGGTCCTAAAGAGGCAGGATATTGGTGGGGAGTTAGGGAAGTGCTTTCAAGAAGGGTTTTTATCTTTTTTGATTCATATGAAATTGGTTTTGAGTCTGTTGCAGAACCATGAAGCTCAATGTCTGCCTTTGCGGCAAAACTTGTTTAAAAAAAAAAAAAGGTTTAGATGCACTATGAGAGGGAAAATTGCAAAGGCGGGTTTTTTTAGAGAAGCCTTTTATGGTTTATGAAGGTGTTGGTCAAATTGAAAGGCTTATGGGGGTGTCTTGTAGTTCTGCCACAGAGCTCAAGTGTGTCTTTGCAGCAGACATAGAAAGGCTTATCCCGCTTTTGCAGCAGGTAAGGGGGATGATGGTTAAGCAATTAAGGAAATTCTAGATCATTACAGAAGCCCTTAAGAGGATTCCAGAAGGTTTCAAAAGATTAAAATTAAGTTAAATTGGGAGGTGGGAGCAAGAATGTGAAGGAGTGGCTGAGATAGGAAGGTTTCTTACTTTTATCCGAAGGTGAAGATTATGGAAGAAATGGGAAGCTTATTAATGGAAATAGTTGTGGAAGCGTTGATATGAGGAATATGATAGTATTTTCCTTGAAGAGGATGTGACTAAAATGAAGGATTTGAATGAAAACTGGAATGTTATCAGAAATAAGAAAGGTTTTAGGTAGCTACTGAAATCTCTCCACATCTTGAAGTTTTTCGCATCTTTTGTAGTGAAATCAACGATAGAAGAATGATATTTTGATAAGTAATCGAGCAAGGTATGTTTTGAAATGATTCGATCATGAAAATACTGTTGTTTTTGTCAATTCCCGAAAGGGGTTTCAGGAAAATCCGCCTCTGCGGCAAACTCCAAATCGAATCTTCCTTCTCAAGATCACGAGATTTCAATTGTAGATGAAAGGAAATCATTGAGAGTAAGTTTTGGGATGTTTCCAAATTAAAGAACATGCTTAAGCACTGTAGAAGAGAGCCCCTTTAATGAGCAAAGGATCTTTTTGCTGAATTTTCAGGGAGATATCAGTATGAATTTTAGAGCTCACTCTCTGAAAGTCTTATTGGAAACGGAGAATAAGCTTCACTATTTAGAGATTGTGCACACTTGAGTGAAATTCGATATTGTGCACACGAGAGAAATTCGAGGTAGAGCAAAACCCAGAAATTGAAGGACAAAGGAATGATATTTCTAGAGAGAGAGAGAGAGAGTAGCACCCTACACCCTTCTAAAGCAAGGCATAAGGCCCATATATCTCCAGTGTTTATATCTAGATTCTTTCTTCTTTCTTTAATTCTTTTATGTCTTTGTAACTTGTGGGTTAAAGGAGTTTCGTCCTTTGTATGAAAGTGAAACGTGAATGAAACAAGTTCCTTCTGAACGCTTGAAACTTTTCTCGAACCCATGTTTTGATGAAAAAGCTCTTGATTTTGATATGATATTGAGTGAATTTATCCACTGATTGTGTGTAATCTCAGGTCTATGCGCTTGGAGTCCAGTTTCTCTTCAAAATTTTCCTTAGTACACAATTTGGCTAAACAAACAATAAGCGATGATCATGTAAATACAGCTCGTTTCTCTATTTATGGTTGTGAAGTTGAAAATAATCTTTCAACTGGTTATCAGAATTGTCTCTGGAATCACAATTTTACTAGGACTGAGGAGTTGTCCTGAATTTCCTTATATATATGGTAAAATTAGTGATTGAGAAAAACATAGATTTTTGCAGAGTGGGAGCAGATTTATTTATGGTAGGTCTCTCTCTCTCTCTCTCTCTCTGTGTCTAACGGAACCCTGTCGTTGATTCTGTACTGTCGAGTTACTTGAATATTGGTTGAACTACTCTAGTATTAGTTGAAGGACAATCTTCAATTAAGGTTGTAGTTCAAATACGATCCTTTCTAGTGGGAGACTTCTTTTTCATCGTTCTTTAATTTTAATCTGCACATGCGGTTTTACTAGTGCTTAAAGGCATATGTGCAATATGAGAAACCTTGGGAGCCACTCAGATCCATTAGATAAGACGAACATGGAAGTTGTGATAATGGAATATTGGGGATTTCTCTGTTGGGGTTTGTAGCTGTTAAAGCTCGTGAGAGCTTGCAAATATAATAAATATAATGAATTTTGCACTTTAGTGGGAGTGTATATTGGTTGCCTGACCTAGGGTTGGATGGTCTATGGCCCAGGTCATATCCAGAACCCTTTCCCTTAGGCATAGGCACTAATTTTGATGGTTTCCTAAAGGTTCATCTATTTATGAGGTCGGAGAGATCTCCTGGGATGGTTTTTTGGCTAGGAGAGCTTTGTGGTCTCCAGTGTGGTTTTATGCTTGTGAGATCAATGACCAAATCCTCAACAAAACTTCTACATGGCATGTACATAGGACAACTGCATTTTGGGAAGAAGCCTTATAGAGGGATGCATATGTACATATACATAGAGAGAGTCTCTATTGCAATATAGCAATATGTGCATGTGGCTTGCTCTTAGGGGAGGACTTGTAATTTACATATTAGGACTGTGGTTCCATTATTTATTGGCCAGCTTTGACAGGTCAATTATGAGCCCCTGTGAATGACTGTAGGTCATGGATCTTGTTGGGTTGGTTTGAGAAGATAGTCGTGAAGCATAGTTTCTGGCATGGTGGTGTGCCCTGACAATCACCTTTTCTTAATCCATCGATACCTATCCACTTCTAGAAGCACCTTTGAGTGTTTTAGTATTTTTTTAATAACTTCAAAAATGTTGTCTTCAATGTTATTTATTCTCCTATGATTTTTGAATATTTATCAGAAATTTTATAAATTGTTTTAATGGTTTAAAACCCTAAAAAGCATTTACAAAATTTTAGAATTTGTAGGGGCAGAGTGAGACCCTAGTGGGGAGGCCAAGGGCCCAGCTCCCACATGTGTGGGACCCACATGGTTGTAGGACGTGGGGCCTACAAGGCCTTGTGCCCCACTTAGGGGGATGCCCCAAGTTGGGAGATCTGTGGGGAATCCTCTTAGATTTAAGAGAAATATTTCGTTGGAAAAATCTTTGGGAAAGTATTTGTGAGAATATTGTGTTTGGAAAATATTTTTTAAGTCTTTAGAATTTGACCAAGTCTCTTCCACTTTGAATTTCTACAATCAGAGAATAAATTCTAGTCAAAATAGAAAGTAAAGTTTAACTGGTCTTATCCTAGATTGACTAGAAGTGGATATGGTTAAAGATTTAGAGGATACGTTCTTCTCCATATTATGATGATTGATTTCAGGGATGGATGGCTCTGATTTGTTTTCTTACTCACCTCACAGATTGCCAGTAAATCTTTTGTTAAAATTTATTCCTGATTGATATTGGAATATCTCAGGGCCTTGAGGCCTACATAAGGAGGGATCTTCCCCTCATTCTCAGCACCTTGTTTCTCAAACCTCTCATGTCCTTCCTCCATCTCCTCCTTGCCCCTCTGTAGTTCTCTCTCTCTCTCTCTCTCTCTCTCTCTCTCTCTCTCTCTCTCTCGTCTCGTACTACGTACGTACGTACGTACGTACGTACGTACGTACGTAGTACGTACGTACGACGTACGCCGACCGACGACGACGTACGTACGG